ATTAATGTGTACACGAATTTTTAACAATTTATTATGCTTATTATGCTTCTAAATTTCCCTGGACTCATGTTACAATAATTTCATTGAATTGATTTCGGAACAACATTCTTTTACGAGGTTACTGTATAAGTGGTGGGACAACAATGTGAGTGGTGGGTCAAAAGTGTGAGTAGTGGGTCAACAGTGTGTGGGACAACAGTGTGAGTGGTGGGTCAAAAGTGTGAGTGGTGGGTCAAAAGTTTGCGTAGTAGATCAACAGTGTAAGTGGTGGGTCAAAAGTGTGAGTAGTAGGTCAACAGTGTGAGTGGCGTTCCGACAGTGTATGTGGTGGGCCAACAGCATGAGTGGTTGGCCAACAATGTGAGTGGTGGGCCAACAGTATGAGTGGTGGGCCAACAGTGTGAGTGGCGGGCAAAAAGTATGAATGGTGGGCACACATTATGAGTGGTGGGTTAACACTAGTAGTATGAGTGGTGGGCCAAGAATATGAGTGGTGGGCCAAGAGTATGAGTAGTGGGCCAACAGTGTGAGTGGTGGTGCCAACAGTGTGAGTGGTGGGCCAACAGTGTAAGTGGTGGGCCAAAAGTTTGAGTGGTGGGCCAACACTGTGAGTGATGGGCCAAAAGTGTGAGTGGTGGGCTAACATCGTGATTGATGGGCCAGCAGTAGGAGATGTGAGTGTTGGGACAACAGTGAGTGGTAGGCTAACAGAGTGATTGGTAGACCAACAGTAGGAGTGTGATAAGGGCACCAGAACTGAACGGCATAATCGAGGTGCGGCCTGACTAGCGCAAGATATAGTTGCAATAAGACCTCTGCACTTCTAGATATTAAACCTAATACTCTGTTTGCCTTATTTCGAACATTAACGCACTGTTTTCTAGGCCGTAGGTCCGGGATTACAAGTACCCCTAAGTCTCTTTCACAATATTAAGTTCGCTGCACTTGCTGGTGTTGAATTTCATTTGCCATTTTTCTGACCACTCCTGCAGTTTATTTAAATCCTCCTGTAGTGCATTTGCATCCTGCCCTGAATTAATCTGCCGCCCTATTTTGGTGTCATCCACAAACTTGCTTATGTCACTGCTGATCCCAGTATCTAGATCGTTTATGTAGATTATGAACAAGAGTGAGCCCAGTACTGACCCCTGGGTAACCCCACTGGTTACACAACCCCACTCAGATTTAACACCATCTACGCTGACCCTCTTTGTTCTATCGGTGAGCCATGATTTTTTCCAATAACTTTCCCCTCGATACCATGAGCCTTAACTTTTCTCAGAAGCTTCTGATGCGGTGCTCTGTTAAACGCTTTGCTAAAATCTAGATAAATAACATCGTAATTTTTTTCATTATCTACTACCTCGAAGACTTTCCTAAAAAACGTCAGCAGTTTTGTTAGACAAGATTTTCCCTTTGTAAACCCATGTTGAGAGTTGTAGATTAATTTGCTTTTCTCTAAATGCGATCGGATGCTATTTGCTATAATATAATTGATTCAAGAAATTTCCCCATTACTGACATCAAACTAATCGACCGGTAATTTGACGCTGATGCTCTGTCTCCCTTTTTGAATATGGGTACTAGATTTGCCTGTTTCCACAAGTCTGGTACAACTCCAGTGTCTAACGATTTTGTAAATAAATTTACGAGGGGTCCGCTAATCTATTTCTTACACTCTTTCAAAACTCGAGGGAAAATTTCATCTGTCCCTGGGGATTTTGTCTTCTTTAATTTATTTATCTTCATAAGAACATCCTTTTTTCTGATAGTGATATCCTTTAGTTTCTCTTCTTCATTTCCCCTAAATTTCAGTTCCACCTCTGGAATTTCCTGGTGAATTTCTTCTGTAAAAACTGATAAAAAGTAGCTATTTAACGCTTTGCTTATTTCCTCACTGTCATCGATCACTTCCCCCCTCCCTGACTTTAAAGGCACCAACTTTGTCCTTGACCTTTGTCCTATATACCTGGAAAAATCCCTTGGGATTCGCCTTGGATTCTCTTGCTATCCTGATTTCGTAGTCCCACTTCGTTTTCCTTACATCTTTCTTAACATTCCTAGATAGTTCATTATACCTATTTCTGAGCTGCTCCTCCCCTCCCTTTATTTTCTTATGAATTCCTCTCTTTATTCCTATGTCATGTTTAAGTGTTCTGGTCATCCACCTTAGCTCATTCTTATTTGACCTAATTTTTATGTATGGTATATTTTGTCCTTGTGCTTTACGTAGTATACTAGTGAATATATTATAGTCTTGATCAATTGTTGTGTAATCTGTGACCTCAACCATTCCTACTGGGGACTGACCTGACTGTTCCCAATCGACCTCACCTAGGTATCTTCTTAACCCCTGATAATCCGCCAATCGAAAGTTTGGGACTCTGGCCATATTGTCATTGTTTTTCGTTTCCCAATTTAGGGTGAACCTGATTTCTCTGAAATCACTGTTCCCTAGTTCTTCCCCTATTATGATATCTCTGATAATATTTTCTTTATTTGTTAATACTAGGTCTAATATATTGTTACCTCTAGTAGGTTCTGTAATTAGTCTTCAGATTCATAGTCACCTGCAATGTTGTCCCAGTCAATATTTCTGAAGTTGAAATCCCCCATAATGCACAGGTTGTTTTATTTTGCTGCCCTTCGCATTTCCTGCCATATGGGCTGAGCTGCTATTTTCCCAAGACGTGGGGGCCTGTAAATCACTCCCATAATTAGTTTTTCTCTTCCTTCCGCAATTTCTATCCATACAGACTCGGTTCCAATTTCACCCTTTATTGAATTATTAATACAGAATTTTAATGTATCCCTGACGAAGAGTGCGACCCCTCCCCCCTTCCTACCTTCCCTGTCATTGTGAAAAAGGTTGTACCCTTCTATGTGGTACTCTGATAAAAAGTTCTTGCTCGCCAGATTTATCCAAGTTTCGGTGATTGTTATGACGTCTGCATTCTCGGTACATACAACCGCTCTCAGCAAGTCTATTTTATTTCTACTGTTTGTATATTATATATTTAAACATACCCTTCCCTGGTCCTTTTTTACCCCTTATCCTGAGTAACCAATTTTACTTCCCTGGACCTGCTTGTTTTTTTACTCCCACTTGTTTTTTGACTCCCACTTTACCCGACCTCTCTCTACTGGTGACCCCCCCCCCTCCTTTGGAGTGACAATTTCACGCTCCAGGGATGCAGACAACGTCTTTACCCCCGCGCGAGACAAGTGTACTCCGTCCCGACTGTACAGGTAGTCGTTGCCATAGAATGGTTGCCAGTTATCAATGAATGCCCAACCATTGCTTGCACAATATTTTTCCAATCGGCAATTTATAGCAATTGCCCTGGACAGCCACTCACGACCAACTCCTCTTCTAGGCAAGACGCCACATACTATTGGGATCCCTCCCCTATCTCTAACCTTCCCAAGCGCCTCCCTATACCTCTTGAAAAGTTCCTCACTCCTAACCTTTCCTATGTCGTTACCTCCAAGACTAAGACACAGTACTGGATTGGTACCCTCCCCTTACAAAGCCCTATCTATCTTCTCAGCTACATGCCCTATCCCAGCCCCAGGAAAACACACCCTAGTCCTACGTTTCCTATCTCTTGCACAAAAAGTCCTATCTAAGAACCTCACCTGGCTGTCCCCAACTACCACGACCTTACCACGAGGCTGGGTCTGAATAACTGCCCTTTTCACCCCTGGCACCACATCGTCCTGCCTCTTCTCTTCCTCGTTCTGCCTCCTCTCTTTCTCGCCAGCTTCCTCCAGCACTTGGTAGGGGTTACTGCACTCCACACCCTGGTCAGCTTTCCTGAGTCTGACCCTACTCCCCTTGGAAGCAACCACTCTCCACACCTGTTCCTCCCTCGCAAGTGTCCTACTAGGCAGGACACCTACCTGAAGGAGTTCAGGTTCCCAATTACTGCTGGGTAGACTTAGGCAAATGGCGTAAAGAAACTTGCCCACAGTGTAAGTGGTGGGTCAACAGTGTGAGTGGTGGGCCAACAGTGTGAGTGGTGGGCCAACAGTGTGAGTGGTTGGCCAACAGTAGCAGTGAGAGTAGTTGGCCAACAGTGTAAGTGGTGGGCCAACAGTAGCAGTGGGAATGGTGGGCCAACTGTGTAAGTGGTGGGTCAACAGTGTGAGTGGTGGATCAACAGTGTGAGTGGTGGGTCAACAGTGTGAGTGGTAGGCCAACAGTATGAGTGGTGTGTCAATAGAGTGAGTGGATGACCAACAGTGTAAGTAGTAGGCCAAGAGTAGCAGTGTGAGTGGTGAGCCACCAGTATGAGTGGTGGGCCAACAGTGTGAGAGGTTGACCACGAGTAGCAGTGGTGGGCCAACAGTGTGAGAGGTTGACCAATAGTAACAGTGGTGGGCCAACAGTGTTTTTGTTTTTGTTTTTACGAAAAATAGCCCACCCGGGCACTGGTCATGGACTCACAACGGGACCTAGGTGAGAGTGGGGGGGGAAGGAGTAAAAAGTAATTAAAAATATAAAATAAAAAGGTTATATTAATCTACAGCGCGAGGATGCCGGAAATAATTTTTTTAAAGTGAGACAGATTGCATGAGTATGGAAACACAGAAGAAGGCAGAGCATTACACAGCTTGGCTGTGTGAGGAAAGAAGGATGTACTATAACGGGTTATTATAGTGTGACCGACATCCACAGTCAAACTGTGGGCAAGACACCAGCCCACGGTATACAGGATGCAAAATATTGCCCGTTAAAGTACCTGTAAAAGAGCGAGAGTGAAGCAAAATTGTGGTGAATAGAAAGGGAAGAAAGATTAACAACTAACGGAGGAGAGTTAATAAGACGAAATGCCTTTGATTCCATCCTATCTTACAGATAATTGGTGGTACTACAGCATGAGTGGTGGGCCAACAGTAGCAGTGGTGGGCCAACAGTAGTAGTGGTAGGCCTAAATCAATAAGAGTGAGGTGTAAACGCTTCTACAATATGTGCTCAAGACAGTAAATGAAGGTACTCTGTGACCAATCCGCAGGCGTGTATCGGGTCTTCATGGTAGCAGTGGCCGATGTAAAGATGTTGGGGAACCTCACTGAATCCAAAACTCGGCTCTCCGTAGGGTAAGACCGGCTGAGAGTCGGCGGCACTAACGACAGGCTGAAGAGTATTACGTAATATTAATAGCAATAGTAATAATAATATAGTCTAAATAGCAATACTAACACCTCAGGGGTGCATAGAATTAATAGCGATAGTTATAATAATATGGTCTAAACAGCAATATAAAAAGATTAACGTCACAGTAATTATCATGTAGAAAAAAATATCAATATTCAGATGGGATAGAAAGAAGACACGATAAAATTATAATAATTACTAATTATGATAATTTAATGAGTAAAGTTTAACTGTTAGCCTCTGAATAACTTGTGCTAAAAGTATTTTATTTATTTAATGAAGAGTGAATTCTTACCTCTGCTCGAAGGGTTTGGTATCAACTGTCTTCATGGCTACAGTGCTATTGAGCGCCGCTGGGGGCTGATGATAGAGCGCTGGTACCCCGGACATAATGATATGCTGAGCTTCTTACTCACGCCTCGTTTATACACCTGATTTTTAATGGGTTTTACATACGTTATGCATATTGAATATATTGAATAAGACAGACAGACAGACAGACAGACTGACAGACAGAGCCTAAGAACAAGAATTTTCGTGTGTACTTCCTGATTTTGAGGTGTGCTGAATATAATGAAGCGAAAAAATTAATTGTGCGTTGAACTAATTAGCATAAGTTTAGATATACGTAATAAAATGATGATCTTTACATCTGACTAGGATTTTGGGCAAGGGCGACGTGACGATGATGTAACTCTTTTTCCAATACAAACATATCAAAAATTTCCAAAAAAAAAATATATTTTCAATGTAAAATTTTAAGGTCCAAATAATAATCCTCAACTAACAATAAGGACTACCATACACTGTAGTCACTAATCTGGTGGAGTCAGCATACCATTACGTCTGTGATAAGTCTAGTCAGTCATTAACATCATTCTGTAAATCAAGGGCATGGGAAGGTCTGTGGATGTGTACATTCCAGCCCTGTCTTGCAACAGCTACACCAGTCTTCAAACCCTCACTTGCATGCACAAGATATAATTTTCAGCACTTATGTCGGGAGCAAATGGCCTGTCAGGTAACCAACTCTCCATCCTTGCGCTGCCAGCCCACTCGGCTACTGATAAACTTGGCTGGAGGGAGTGACTGAAACTGAACCAGGCGAGGATAAGGATGCTCTACAGGTATATCGGAAATACATTACATAGCGAAGAGTGTCCAGTTACTTGGGGTCGAACACGTCCTTACAGTTTGAGCAGAAGCACTCTTCCCACTCTTCCTATATCATCATGTCTGCTGTGGGGTTGAGAGAAAACACTCAAACAATCCAATTGTCAGCACCATCGAACAGTGCAAGAGCCTTTCGCCTGTATTATTAAACAATATCTTCCCTTGAAGAGGGTCGTCGTGTTTCAACCCGAGTTTTAAACTAAATGGGTCCTGAGGGACACCGCAGTCCAGTACTTAACGGGGTGATGTGGCGGTAAAATTAACTAATTTCAATATATAGGTTTTATCCGTTCGAAATGTAGGTGTTCAATAAGCAAAGTAACCGGTAAGAAGTGTTAAAATCCCTCCCCCCCGCCCCCCCCCGTTTGGTGTTGAGTAAAACATTGCCATACATGTCTTTGGTGTTATGCAGTGATCCAGTGAGTCATTAGAAATATCATAACTTATCACCTCAGATATCCTCTCTCCCTCTCCCCTCATATGAGATTACCCTCAGGTGGGAGGAGTGATCACAGGCGAACCCCTCACCTCCCATCAGAGAGTAAAGAACAAAGAAGGAAAGATTAAGAATAAGAAAAGAGAATTAGAGAATAAAGAAAGAGTAAAATTAAATAAATAGAAATAAATAATAAAACAAAAATTTTTTCTTACAATGCTGTTAGAGATATACCAGAACATAGGTCACCATGTGGAATATACATTGTGCAAAAGGCTCCTAAATGTGGCCAATCAGGAAATCAGATCTGCCTAACGACACTTCCAGACGAAGCAAGCTCAAAATATTAAGAAAGATGCCAGAAGCAAAATAAAACCAAGGATACTGTTGGCCCTCTAAAGGACGAAACAATCTGGAAGTGAAGGATGACAGACAGACAGACAAAAGCCGTATGTGATTATTTGGTATCAGTATGCACAATGTATACCTCAGGTGGAAAATGAATTAAGAGAGATACCAATTACAGAAGAAATACATCAAAAGGAAAGTAGCCAGCTTGAAAGAAATCAAAACCCCCAGGAGTGGACAAAGCACAGACCAAGGTGATGAAGGAGGTGGTAAAACTGCTTTGCGTCTCACTAAGAAATCCTTGGATCAAGCTAAAACGCTTTGCTACTGGAAATCAACGAACGTCACCCCACTATACAAGAAGGGTGGTAAAAGTGCAACAGAAAACTACAGGCCGGTCAGCCTAACATCACAAACATGCAAACTCTTAGAAAATTTTGAGGGAAACCATCAACCAACACCTGACAGATCACAGACTTATCAACGCATCATATGGATTCATGGGACGAAAAACCTGCTCGACACACTGACTTTCCTTGAAACCATAACAGACTACGTGCACCAAGGTCTACCAGTGGATATTTCTACGACATTTGACAAAGTCCCACTTGCACGGCTAGCCTCTTAAGATCCAGCCAGGCACATGGCATCACAGACATGATTTTGAAGTGGATTAACAACTGGCTTGAAGGCAGGTAAAAGACAGGTAACAAACGGTGGTCATAAGCGTAGTACATATAGAACGAAAAAGTTCTAAATGGAGTACTTCATGGCTCTATCCTTGGACCCACCTTGTTTGCGATCTACATAAATGACAAAGATGAAAATATATCGAGCCACATTATCAAGTTTGCGGACGACACGAAGATATTTGACAAAGTATCAAGTCGAGACGATGTAACAACGATGGAAAAAGATCTCAAGACAGGCAAATGCTCTTTAACATTAAAAAAATAAGATTTTACTCATAAGATACAACCCTAATCACAACTATTCCGTCAATAACAGTTTCCTGGATACTACTGACAAGGAAAAAATCTAGGCGTTGTGATAGATCAGTCACTGAAGGCGGTATAACAAGTGGGGGCAGCAATGACAAAAGCCAAACCGAGATTTAGGAATTACAAATAATACCTTCGCCTTCATAAATAACAAGGGCGTCTCACTCTGGATTACTATATACAGGGATGGAAAAGCAACTTCTAGAAAGACCTAACATCCGTAGAAAGGGAACAACACAGATGATCACGGAACTATCAGCTCGATTAACCAAGTAGACTGGTTGCCTTAGGACTAACAACTCTTCAGACAAGACACAATAGGACAATCTCATTGCCATTCAAACTCCTGGATGTAAAACGTGAACCTGGGACATTTTGTGATGTCGCGTACCACCAACACGAGCCGACATAACTAATAAGCTCGTCAAGTTATAATGCACAACGAGCATAAGGAAATATTTCTTCACACATAGTGGTAGACCTATGGAACAGTCTAGTTAGTCAAGCTGTAGAATCAAGAATAGTTGACAGCCACACCCTTGCCCCCATGTGTTTCCACCAATGTGTTAATCGACCCTTACTTTGTACATGCTCCATAAGTTCTTTCTGTGGTGTAAGGGTTTTCATTCCCAACTCGAATACACTGTCAGCAGATACGTTTTGTTGTGCTCGTCGTTGCTGTTCTGTGGGTTTTGCCGATGAAGCGTTGCCATACCCGACAAGCTTCTAGCAGCCCATAGTGATCGAGTAGAAAGGATGTAGTGGACTATTAGTCGATATCAGCAGGCCAGGGCGATCTTTTGAGGAAGTGACCGACATCAAGTGCGAAGTGAGCACAATCGGGAAGTTGAAGGTGAACATTCTCCTTCGACTTGGCGACGCTTGCTGGGATACTCTGTAAAGGTGACTTTTTGGCAAACTCGTGAAGGAAGAATGCCTTTATAACAGAACTGTCCTTGGTCACACATGAGATCCTCTCGGAGTTATTTGGTTTCTGGCAACACAGATATTCGTCAACGATATTCCCATCGCAAATCTATTTCGCCCAAATATTCACCTATCATGGCCGAAATAGTCCTGATACCAGGTAAATGCCTGATCCACACTTATACATCCTAATACGAAGTAAATGCCTGATCCACATGTATGCATCATGATACAACTTGCTATACCAAACAGTGAATCCTGCCATAATGAGGAAGGACAGTGCACGTGCAGCCAGTGGAAAAAGGTTTGTTATGGGGGAGGTGTACAGTGTTGATGGTATGGGGAGGTGTACAGTGATGATGGTATGGGGAGGTGTACAGTGTTGATGGTATGGGGAGGTGTACAGTTTAGATGACTTGATAATGGGGGAGGTGTACAGTGTTGATGGTATGGTTTGGGGGAGGTGTACAGTGTTGATGGTATGGTATGGGGGAGGTATACAGTGTTGATGGTATGGTATGGGGGAGGTATACAGTGTTGATGGTATGGTTTGCGGGAGGTATACAGTGTTGATGGTATGGTATGGTGGAGGTGTACAGCGTTGATGATATGGGGAGGTGTACAGTGTAGATGGTGTGGTAATGGGAGAGGTGTACAGTGTTGATGGTATGGTATGGGGGAGGTGTTCAGTGTTGATGGCATGGTATCGGGGAGGTGTACAATGTTGATGGTGGTATGGTATGGGGGAGATGTACAGTGTTGATGGTATAGTATGGAGGAGGTGTACATTGTTGATGGCGCAGCATGTGTACACCAGTTTCCAGGACCTTGTTCCATACACCTGGAAAGAAAGAAAGTACGAAATTATTATAAATTATCACATATAATATTTTAACAATTACTCTATTATTCTGTGTTAATATAATCATTAATTGTTATTACTCTAATACTTATGTTAAGTTTTATTATATTATCATTATCACCCTTGTTATAATTGATCCTTTTGTTCTGGAGACAATTAGGTCAAATTGTCCAAAGGCTTAACTCATATTTTTGGTAATTTGTTGAATCAAGATGTTATGTAGGACACCCTGGTTAGGTTAGATTATGGTTACGGTTAGGTTAGGTGAGGTTACGTTAGATAATGATTATGTTTAGATTAAGTAAGGCCATCTTAGATTAGGTTACAGTAAAGTAAAGTAAGGTTAGATTAGATTAGGTTAGGTTAGGTCAGGACAGATTAGGTTAGGTTAGGTTGAGATTCATTATGGTTCGGTTAGTGTAACATAGCTGTGTGTGTGTGTGTGTGTGTGTGTTGCACACAGGATGGTGAAATGCGTGTAGAGAGATAGCATTATGATTGTGTTAAGATGCAAAAAATGCTTGTTCCCTCTCTCTTTCAGCTGCCGCCGCTGGCTAGCCCTCGTGGTGAACAGGGAAGCAACTTGCATAAATCTTCCCCTGCCAGTACACAGCCTCTTCACTATCAAGACTCCTGCTTGATGGCCTCCTGGGCCCAGGCTAGATCAGCATGGATCTCAGAGAAGCAATGGGCCCCAGAAGGACGGCGCATAGGCCCACTAGCATGTGAACAGGTTCTGGCGCCTACCAACCATTGTCCCGCTGCCTTGCGGATTAACCTTGGTAGGTATAAGGCTACGGGAGTAAACCCCAAACGAAATATCTACGGTGGAGCCCCGCATCAGGTAGACATGCTTACAGAGCTCCAACAAGAACCTAACGGCGGTGTAAGCAGAAGAGGTGACCACCATGGATAACCCAATGACTACACCGGTGGACGAAGGCAATGCCTGTTGGACAGGCAACTAAGGCGAAGCCCAACAAACTGGGCTATCGGCAGTCCATTACAACTCTCCTTCTCCCCAGTCGTCACAACACTTGCACCACTGGATCAGGAAAAGGGAGAGCCAAGATGTGTGGTTGCAGCCTGCGCTCCTGCCTCTCCACATATATTAACTCATGGTTAGCCATCATCAAATTCATCATACCTCTCATCATCATCAAATCGCCTATACCCCCAAAAGTCCTATGGCGATGGACGAGTGGCGAAGGGGACAGGCAGAGATGACTGCCGGGAGTCTCAAGTCAGAACTCTGCACATGGGCGGCACAGGTAAGATAGTCGTTTATGCTCTAGGATCAAGGCAGCAGTGCAATCCGGTCCTGTTTGTGTGACTGAGCAGCCCTTTTCGAGGAGTGACTCTGCTCACCCCACATGGGGAGGGAGCTAGAAAAGGTGCGCTAAACAGAGCTTGCCTAAAATCCCAACCTGACTGGGCAGCCGCACCCTGTAAGGCCATCCTTATGCTGTCGAAAACACAATCAAAATCACAGGTCCAGACAAAAACAAACCATAAAACCTCTTATGGTCGCTGCGTGAAATGTCAGGACCCTACTGGATACTGGCACAAATGATCGTCCTTGAAATAATAACTGCCCTTGTGGTAAAAGAGCTGGCTAGGTATAACATCAACATAGCAGCCATTAGTGAGTCCTGGCTCCCAGATGAGGGCCAATTCGCAGAACGGGGGTCTGGCTATACCTTCTTCTGGAAAAGTAAGCCTGCTCCGGAGAGAAATAGCATTTATAGAGTTGGCTTTG